AGTTCTGATACAATACAGTTTCATCAAATCCATTTCCCGGCGCTTGCTAGGCGAAGACATAGTTCCTTATTTTCTTTTTCCTTTTCAATTCTTCTGTTCAGGCATCAAAGAGCAAAAGTGGAAGGAAAATGGAAATTGGGAACCAGAGGTTTTTGGCTCATACCAAAATTCTCAAGAAACCTTTCACCCCATAGATACTTTCACGTCTCAGTAGTTTTTTTCGGTGGTTTTCGGATTTATCCAATGGGCTGGCTCTGATTTATCTTCTATGGGCTTGAAAGATTATTTTGAGATGGCCTTTTCACTCAAGGATTCTTTATATGCTTTTTAATTTAATAAATTCATGTTAAGAAATAGCATACTATTGTTTATATTATATTATTTTTTAAAGTAGGTCACTTGTGTAAAATATTCATATCTATTAAAAAGGTATGGTAACAACAAATTACTTTGGTTTCTCAATAATTAATTTTCCAAATGAAGATGAAATAGTAGATAAAGACTTATTAGTTATTACACACCCAAATCAATTTACAAATTGGTTATTGAAAATATACCTGACAAACATTAAAAATTCTATGGAACAATCGGATGGTTTTCTTATGGAGCCATCTCCCACTCAATATATTGACATCTGTCCAAATTGTATTTATTGCAAGTCACGTGTCAATGCACTATTTGTGAATAACTGTGGATAGCTCCATAAGTCGAGTCATCCGATGACTCCATAGCAAAACTGGACAAACATTTGTTACTCTTTTTTTTTATTTATTTTTTATTACAAACATTTGTTACTCTTTTTTGTTATAGTATTATAAAAAGTAACAGATAAATTTTACCAATTCAAAAATAATAAGCCCTGGTAAACCAATCTAGCAAAATAGATCAACACATAGACAATAATCAAAAGAGATCTCTTAATTGATTTTTTCGTCCAATGGCACATGCTTAATAAAGTATGGTGTAAATTTATTTTTCTTCTGATTGGTGCTATAAATTGTTGCTGCCAATTTTCTTCTGATTTATATTTTCCTTTTCCGTGGGACATAATACTTTTGTGAAATCAATTTATGGTAATTTGTTTGGTTGTTTTCTTCCCTAATCAATGTGTAAGTATAATTGTACCCAAAAAAAACAAAATGTGTAAGTATAATTAAGGAAAACATTGACATTTTTGTGTCCACATAAAACGAAAGCATAATAATAACGGATAATTGAGTCCATCTTAAATATTTTCCAGTACATTAGGTTGATTTTGCTCGTTTGCATGTTATTAGCATCTTTTGGGAATTTTTCTTCTACTATTGTACTTTATTTCATCAGGAAAATATTGCTTGGATATTTATGTTGGGAACCATCGCGGAAACAAAACAAAATCCACTTGATCGAACAGCATGAGACACGATCAGCTGCCGGACGAAATTTTATTCTCCGCAACCCACGAAAGAGTCTGTGGCCGCAATGGGTTCCGCAAACACAAAAAATCGATTTCTCCAATTTTCGTAGATTTTCTCCAATTTTCGATTTCTCTCGTGTTTGGATCCTTGGGATATATCGAGTTGTGACTGGACTATTGCAATTCTTCAATCGACTGAATGTTTTTATTTTCCAATTATTATTATTAATCGATGTTGAGTTTCTTACATTCTTCGATTAACTTGAACATGAGGTAATACATTTACCTAGGGTTGGAGATTTCATTCTTGTCTTAAATTTGGTTGAATGTGTGATTGTTCATCTTGCGCGAGTTGTGTGATTCATAGGGTTAGTTGATTGATGACCTTTTAATCTAATTAAACTTGTAAAAACGATAGGGAATGAGTTGTTCGGCCTAGGCTCGCATAGAGTAGGCTTCTTGCATAGAGTAGGCTTGTTCTTGCATATGTTTGTTCTCTTATTACGAAGAGTTACTGAGCGTAAACCTCTAGACGTGTAGAGTCATCGAATCACTTAATCAAACAAATAGGCATTCGACATAGATTTGAGACTTGATGAGATTTCCCGACGCCAACCTTATTCACTTTCTCTAATCATTATTTATCTGTTTTTCTAATTGATAGATGACAGTTTTCCTAGTTGATAGATGATAGTTTTTAGATAATTACCAAACCAATCATGATTAGCATGTTCAGGGACTTATTTTCTTCTCGTTTGTGATTGACACTAACTCTAAATTTCGAACCGTCTTTCCTCGAGAGATCGGCCCGAGGAAGGATTCGTTCCATACTCATCAAAATAATAATTTGCTATGACACTTACCAAAATTGAATGTGCTCGGTTTGCGATAATTGTGAGATGAGTGACCTCTTAAAAAGTTTCTAAAAAATTACATTCGTTGGCCCATCGATGTACATTCTATTTTTTTCAAGATGTATAATCACTATCCTATCAAAAGAAACACTAAACACAAATGAAACCAAGATATCTACACCAAAGGCATGAAGAATGGCTAATAGAATTCCTTAGGATCAAAATGACAAGGGGCTCAACATTGCAATCACTAGCATTTACCACAAAGTAACAACAAACAACAATATCAAGTAACAAGATTGAGCAGAACAAAGGAAAAACACTATAGTTTGAAATAGCATTTAGCTGTGATGTCGAGAGAGTACAAAGTCTAACTTGATATGAAACATCTAACCACAGTGGCTCTATATGTCAAAGTAAAGCCAAACCTTGGTAAATCGAGCTTCCGCCATAGCTAGGAAGGGTATTTACAAGTCAAATTGAAATTCACTCCAAAAATTGACTCCACGGGCTACTTCAAAATTGTTTCTTTAGTACGGAAGTTTTTGGATGATCCACCCCAACATCTAGAGCACAACCAAATAACTTCTTTGATCACCCAAAAAAAATTGTAATTGGTTAAAAGAAGCAAGATTTTTGTGAGGAAAAAATGACTAACTTTGTCATCGAGATTTTGTTCTTCCTTTTAGAAAAAAATAATGCCAACAAGTTACTCGAAGCTACCATTCAAAATTACAAATACCTATGTTTTTTATTTTACAAATTGCAATTCCTCGATGAGGTCATTTGTTTCGGAGAGAAAGAAAGAAAATACAAACCAAAATGAGGTATTTGTAATTTTAAATGATAAGACTATGTTTGGTAAAACAAGCTGATAGCATATAAGCTAGTTTATAGCTTATGAGTAATTTTCGAGCTTATAGCTTATAGCGTATGACTTGTAGCTGAAAAGTTAGCTTATATGATGATATAAGTGTCTGATAAGGCAGCTGAAATAAAAATTTCAACAAGTACCAAAGAAATTTATGAGATAAGCTCGAACTTTTTAAAAGAGCTCGTCCTACCAAACGAACCTTATTTGAATACAGGAAGCTTATATAAGCTACCCAATTAAACTATAAGCTAGCTTATTTAATTACCAAACATAGCCTAAATGGAATTGTAATTTATTTTTTTTTTTCTAAAGTAGGCTAAATCTCAAGGATAGCATTTGCAACTAAAAGGAAAAGAACAAAAAAATAAGAAAAAAACAACAAACCTTATGACTTTGACTGCACGAGTTTGTATGATGACTCCTGATTAAGTGTGCATGAAACTGAACTCGTACCGGGCACATAAAGTGCATTATATCCAAAAGAACCACCCACCGACCCAAACTCCTTTTCGTCATCATCACTATCGACATCTTTCGGTGTTACTCGATTCTGGTAGCTTCTCTTGTTGACAAGGAAAACATTGAAGTAATAACTCACCAAATTTTCTCTCGTTTTACAAAGCAAGAACCGAAAAGAATTGTTCCAAAACTTATTCGGGAAAGCAGCATACGATCTCATCATGTCCTTGAATCTCTTCTCCTCATCTTCTGTCCAAGAAAGCGAAACCTCTTCACCCATTCGATCAAATCGCCACCGGTAAAATATTACACCGAGTTCACGTTTTAGTTTAAGCCTTTCTTCAGCAACATGAAACCTAATGCACTCGACAGAATTCGGAAAAAGGCAATCGCAAGAATGAGGCCTCCCTTTCCCAATAGAATCCACCTTATCAAGCATAGACTTTTTTTCACAATCTGTTGGGGCCCACATTCTTGTACCGAGCCACTTGGAGTCGCTCTCTGAAATTACGCCAGTCCATTCTGGGACTACAGCTTGGTGGAGAGGGCCCACAGAAACTTTCTTCTCAGCCGTCACTTCTGAAGAGGAATTCTTACCATTTGATATTTCGGATTGTTTTTCCGCATCTGTGAGAACTAATTTCACGGGTGCTTTTGGGGTACTACTTACCTTGTTTGCCTCCTGTTGATCGATGGTTTTACTCCGAGCAGTGTTTGAATTGCAGCAACTGCATAAATGGGATTTCGGCGAATTAGATGCCCTATTGCTTGATTTTAATTTGTATGGGGTTTGGTGATCGATAAAGTCATCTTGGTACATTGAAGGATGCATCTTTGCCTTTTGCTTATCCTGATTAAAAAAATAGCACATTAAAAAGCAAATAGAATTTACATGCATTGAATTAAGTTATTACAAAAAGAACTAATTTATATCCTGATTATAGGTTTCCTTTCTTGGATTAGAGAGACATCAGAACATTCAAAGAATTGATAAAACTAATTTGTTAGACAATTGTAGTCAAACGAATGATAACAGTTGCATCTCAACCGAATTCACCGAATTCATTAGTTGATTTTAATAATTCACGATACCAATGGAACCTCGTGCGTTGAAGCAGATCCTTCTCATTATGTTCAACAAAATAACTTTTATTCAAATTTAAAATATAAATATCAAGAAGTCTGCTGGCCAAGAAAATGTTTGAGTTATATTTACTACTCTAACCGCTTTGGCAATACCAAAGCCCATTTCATCATATGCAAGACATTATAGAATCGAAGGAGCAATCATATATCGTTTTCACACAATTGGTTCATTTTTAGTCTCTTACTGTAACTTTATTATTCATCTTCTTTTTTTTTTTTTTTTTTTTTTTNTGACATCATCTCATTATCCTTCCTCTTAAAAGTTAAGTTTCCATGGTTTGCATAAAATTTCAGAAAAAGCATACGATATGTAGTCTAATATTATGTATAGAGATTTTAGAATACTAACTATAAATCACATAAACCTGACTTTTTTTAGAATGATAATCTTTCAAGATAACTTGAATCTTAAAGGAAAGCTGATAAAAGAACTTCTGGCATCTGCTGCTACTTAACAGGAAGTTTAGACTAGGATTCACTGAGCTTCAACTTCAAATCATGAGATTTAAAATCTATATTAAGATCTGTAAAATAGACGATGAAAATTTCTATTTTCACTCAAGAGCACCTCTTGAATACTGGCCAAATATGCCAGGGCCTATAATAAAAGAGTGACCAATGAAAATCATCTAAAACCACACCACAAAAATACATAGCTTTCTTTAAACCCCTATACGTGATGCGAAGAAGAAGATAAGGAGAAAAAAAAAATTAATAGACACATAACAGAATCAACTTTCTCGATAATATCACATATTATTAAAGACATAAGCCTTTACCTTTACAAGACTATCATCTGCATTCGTATCAGCATTCCTTCTTATCAGCAAAGCTTCCCGAGCTGACACAGCTTGAACCCTTAACTCCTCATTCCCACAGTCAATACACTTGGAACATTCTGGAACTTTCCCGACTGGAGAATCATGTGGACTTTTCGCAACACGGGTCAGCCAGTGTAGCATTTCTAAAAACGGCCGAGACTCTCGTTTCCTCTTCCGAAAATTCAACGGATTCCCATTATCACTTCTGGATGGAATCACATTATCAATGTCCTGTTCAACTTTGACCCTCTCTTTATAATCAATAATCTTCTCTGAAAGATCACGTGCTTTACTAAGAACACTGCCAACAACTTTCTTGGCAGAAAGTCGAACATCACTGTTGTTTTCGGCTGATGACCTGCCGTCATTAATAGTTACATTAGAAACAGTCCTTTCACTATTAACAACCTTGTTAATAATATCTTTATTAAAAACGTTAGCTTCATCTTCATTGTAAGACTTCCCACTGCAATCATCATCTTGTACTTTAGAAAAGCCATTTGCTCCTCCATTCACAGTGTTCTCTGAGGATATTTTTACCACCCTCTTTGTTACACACTTTTTTGCCACCCTCTTAGCCGGTGAAGCAAAACCGTTAATAATACCTTTGTCTATATCGATTTTTACGTCTTGTAATTCATGAATGACATGTTCAGTAGATCGACCATTACCACTGCATAATTTTTCACTAACATCTTGAAAAAACTTAGTACCTTCCTCTTTCTGCCCGTTTTCCAACAAACTCCCAAAGCTAGCTTCCAACTCACGGGACAACAAATCCAATTTTTTAACAACTCCACCATCTTCATTCTCCACATCTCCCTTGCTAACAACTCTCTGTAGCCATTGATCCAGCTCGTTCAAATACTTATCGTGAATCAACTTAACGGATTGAATTTGAACCACCCCAATACCTAATCCACATTCTTTCGACACGAAACCCCACAAATTATTTCTCGACACCTCTTCATGCCCGCCGATTTTCCTCACCACCCAAAAGAGTTTAAGCAGGTCGACAGGCTGGCCGTCCCTGCAAAAAGCCGGGATAGGCCTAACGCAATTGCTCGCGGATTTTTCATTAAAAAAGGCAACGAGCAATTGATCGAACAAACCCCTCAACCTCTCTTTACACGGATCGATATGGTGTTTTTCGTTCGGGAAATCGAGATCAAAATCGAACCAAATGTTCCCCTGAGAAGTTCCCCCTTCACCACCTCCACCACCATCACCATCATCATTGTCACTCAGCTCAGCCCATTTTTCCATTAACCTTTGTTTAACACCCCTTTTCAAGAAACTTCAAAAGTTCTCTAATTTTTCTTTTTTTTTTTCTCTCTTCTCTGCCATAATCATCGCACAATCGGGAAACAAATGAACAAAGACAAGAAAAAATGAATAATCTTGAACAAAAAAGATTAAAGCTAACTGAACTAAAAGCAATACATGCAGCACATACACATACGCATATCATATATGAACCCCATAACCTGAATTTGTTGGATGAAGGCTTTACCTTTTTTTCGGCGCCTGACAATGGACAAACGGAAGTTTTTTTCAGGGTACAGCGTGATTTTGCAGGTGCCTATTTACAACATTTACAACAGTGATTGTGTTTTGAATTTTTTGACTAGCTGTATTTTTAACTTTTTTTTTCCAAAGAGAGAACGAGATTATGCTAATTATATTGGTACGAAATCGAAAGCAAGTGAATTTTGTAATATGGTTGTATAGAACTAGGTTAGATTTCTTGATTTCATATTAAATTTCGGATGATAATTTTTGCAAGGGTGGCCCTCTACATCTAACCCTAATTGTTATCTAGGTTTAAAAACACTATTTAAAACATTGTGTTGTGTCCCAATTAATAAGATTGGATATCATATGTATGGTTAGACATGGTCACCGGCCAGACCGGCCCGAAACCGGTCCATTCGTTTAACCGGGCTGGTTCTAGGCCTCATATATAAAAAAATTTAGCCCGTGGAACGGTCCTGGAGACGATCTGCCACATTTTTCTTTTTCAATTTTTTTTATTCTTATTTTTTTAATTTGTGGATTGGGTTGGGCTGGACTGGCTCGTGGCCCAATGTTGGGCCGTTAGCAACCCGCTAATCAGACTGACCAGTCGGGCCGACCCAGACCCGACGGGTCCTAAACTTTAAAAATAAAACTCGAAAAAAAAAATAAAAAAAAACAAAAATATTCTATAAGTACCCATTTCAAATCAGATTTATCACACCTTTCACAACATATTCCTCTCTTGTATACTCTTTTCTAAACTATTGAAGTGCTATTTTTTTATTATTGTACTCGGTTTTTTTATAAATTCATCCGATTCTATATAAATTCGGTCCCGAACTCCCAGTTACATATATTTACTCTCATTTCAGTTCCGATAGATTCTATAAATTCTTACATAATACTCGCTCTTTTCTAATTCTATAATTTTTTACCTCTCTTTGTTATTTTATAAAAAATATTCTAGGTATAAAATGATATGATGATAAACTTAATTGATGTTTATGAAATTCGATAAAATAAGAATTAAATTGGTTGAATTGATTGAACCGAATACAAGTATCTTGTCCGATATAATTGGAAGTACGTTATTTAAATCATTCTTTTAAACAACTCATGAGGGCAAATTATCATGGTGATTATATTATTTTAAAATTAAATTAATTGATGTAATATTACTACTAGTTTGTTTGTGTAGTGAAAAAGTAAATATAAACAAATTGAATAAAAAATATAAAAAATGATTGATATATATGTATATATGTATATATATTATAGAATGTTGATTAATATAAGATGAAAAAATAACAAAATATCATTATAATATAAAAAATATAATAGAATATAGATTGATAATGAACTGAAAAAATAAATATAGAATATGTAAGTAACATTTTTATTTTCTTGGGCATATGGTTGATTTTTATATATAATATGAAATCAAATTGAATAATATATTTTCCTAAAAATAATGTAACTTACAATTTTGAATAGTTATTTGTTACAAACAAAACAAAAACAAGATATTTTTTAATCTCCCTTGAATTTTTTGATGAAAACAATATTTGAATCTACCTAATGGACCCAAAGCTTTACTTAGCTTAAGCTCATATATTACAAGTTACAACTCCCCTCCAAATAAACAAAGCCTATTAGCCATGACATAGCCCTTATCAATCATCAAAGCAAGCTGAACAACTATTATGAATCAATCATGATAATTGTAAAGTAAATAAATCGGGCCTACAACCCTACTCCAAGAAGCCCGATATTAAACTCCAAACGTCACTAATAGAAATGAATTGCATTTTATTTTTCCTTAAAAAAAAAAAATAATATTTACCCACCCGTTTAATTTATATATTAAATGTAATTTCAGAGAAAATTAACAAAAATAACAATTCATAGTTTGCCTTTTGTCAAATATTAAATCATTTATTTAGATATTAGTCCTCTAATGATCATATTATGGTACCGTGCTTTAATCATTATTGGTAACAATTAATTTATTATATTTTAGTGATAATTAGCAACAAAATATTAAACTTAAAACATCAATTTAGATGGCTCAAAACTATGAAACCCTTCTTTTACAAAGTTATAGATACGCTGCCGTTGATAGACAAAAGTTGGATGGAATTTAAATTTCATAAATATTACCTTTTCAAGTTATTTAACTATCTATTTATTCCCCCAAATACCCAAAATAAATAAAAAAAGCTATAAAAAAAAAGAAAAAAAGTATGAAATGCGGTCCAGCTGCCTGGGTAGAAAGAAAGAGCGGACTCCAAACCAAAAAATTCAAATACGCTTATTAAAATCAATCCCGGAGCCCTGAACGACCCGGTCAGCCGGTGCCAAAGTGATCGCCTGTACCGTACGGACGGCCTCCCGCCTACCGACATTTGCCGGTAGCCGGTCTCCTCCCCCAATTCTCCACTCACAGTGGCAGTTAGTAAATGCGCTTTTAAATCCATGCTGCCATTTCTCTCTCACACACTACACGCACCACGCTCTCTTTCTTCCATCACTTTCTCTCTTTCTACAATCCAATAATTCTCCTATCCAAAATTCTGTATTCTACAACTGCCCAGCATGTAAAGTTGTGTTTTTTAGTATTATTTTTGTCCATTTTCTCTCAGATCTCCGCCATTTTCAAGTTTGGTTCCGTTTCAGCTTTCTATCTCTCTCCAGAATTCTGCATTTCTTTTGGTATTTTTTTTTTGTTTGCTTAAGCAAGCTTAATTTGAGCTCTGTATGTTATTTTGATGTACATTTGAGCCATTGCTGGAGTTTGAGTGCTGGAGTTTTTCTTCGAGTGCTGTTCTGCAAATTCAGCATTCTTCAAAGGTAAATTGTGCTTTTAAGTAAGTGTAAATTTTGGAGGAATGTTCGTAATCTTAAGTACGAATTTCGTGGTCAAGATCTTTGTTAAGCTATAATTGCTTGAGTTTTTGATTTGTACTGTTGCTACTTGCTAGCTATTGCTTGAGGAGAGGTATGTGTTTTATCCAAATTTGCATGAAATTATGAAAATGATATAATTTTTTGTGTTCAGCATCACACAATTTGGATAATTGCAGAATTGATAAAATTTTTATGATAAAAACTTGCATTGAGCATAACAGTGGCCTGTTCAACAATGGATCCGAGCATTTGAATGCTTGTATGTATGTGTGTGTGTGTGTGAGAGAGAGAGAGAGAGTCTATATTCTCTCTCTCTTTTGATTTGAATTTTGATGAGGTATTATTTCACTGGTTCATTTACTGTGATCAAACCGAGCCCGTGAATCACACAGACTCAATGCATTGCATTTATATCTGAAATGAAGTTTGCATGCCTAATTTTACAAAAATTGCTCATTTTTCCTTTCAAGTATTACTTGTGAAGGTGATGGAATTTCGAGGCGATTGAGAATCTCAGAATTTCCAATTTCTACTAAAAAAAGGGCTGCTCCCTGTTTTCATGATTCACCATGAAAATTGTCTGAACATGGGAATTCAGCTTTGAAGAAAAGCAAAAAAGCTCGAAAAAGTTCTTCATACAAGCAAACACCTACTATTGGACTTGCCTTTTTGTCTTAACAACTGTAAGCTCCAAATAAGTTTGAGCTGAATTTGCTTTTTTAATAAAAGCCTATATGTTTCTTTTTTCTTTATCTTTTTTATTCATCAATAACTTGATTTCTGAATTTTAATTTTCTGGTTAAGCTTGTCTAAAAGTGAGATGCTGGAGACAGAATCGTGTCCTTCCCGGGTTTTGTCGCCTTTCCGTGAGGAAAGTGGTGACGAAGAACTGTCCGTTCTTCCGAGGCATACAAAGGTTGTTGTGACTGGTAATAACAGAACAAAGAGTGTTTTGGTTGGTCTACAGGGGGTTGTGAAAAAGGCTGTTGGGCTTGGTGGTTGGCATTGGCTGGTAAGACTTTCATCATCTTATTAGATTTTGTTTATATTGGAGAAATTTTTTTTTTAATATATACAAAGTAATATGAGAAGCAAAGTATTTGTACAACCAATTTGGTGGTGACTTTTTATTGGTATATGAAAAGATTGTAGGATGGGGTGATTATATTGTAATATCTGTTGATTGATATGATCCTCTGTTTTTAGGATTAAAGAAAAAGTATTACTCGGATATATTTTTTTTTTTTTTTAATTTGGGTATAAGTTTGAACTAATGTCTGAAAATTTCCTTGCCGGGTGATGTTTGAGATGATTTTTTCAGATATGTTTTGTCTTTTAAATGGTTTGGATGTTTATAATAATCTTATCTAACATTTATTTTTATTGGGGGTCATTCATACTAGTGTTATTTTATAATCTGATTTACTGAGAAAAAATCCTTGAAAACCGACTGCTCTGATTGAATATTTCGTTCCTTTCCAATTCTGTCATTTAATATTGATTAAAAGATTAGTTGTGGCCTCTGATAGTAAATTCAGGAAAATAACTAAATTTTCATAAAATATTATAAAATAACAAGGTTTCCCATTTTACTTCACGCAGCTGCTTTGAAAATTTGATTTTTAACAAACTCTACACAGCTTTATTTGAACTGTCCCTTATATTTTCTTTCCCTATTTATTGCTACATATCATTGAGTTATAAGTTACACTGCCAGGTTTTGAAAAACGGTGTTGAGGTTAAGCTCCAGAGGAATGCTTTAAGCGTTTTAGAACCTCCTACTGGAAACGAACAAGATTTCGATTATGATTTTGATGATTCAAGCAGTGGGTCTGATATTGGTGAGAAAGACCTAAAGGAACATAATCCATTCTGTAAGTTGTGAGCCATGTGCTTAAAATATCTCATAACTCAACTTTATTTGAAAAAAAAAATAAAATTGATCAATTGAACAGCTTCTCTTAGAAAACTCCGCATTTTTTTCCCTTTTGATCAGCATCTGGCTTCCACTTCACCAAGATTAGCAAGCCTAGAGTTAGGTATAGTAGGCCGTGGTCTCCACCCGTCTCTACAAAGTCAATTAACCGAACTAGCTGCAGAGAATTTCAGCTCAAATGCCGTGCTAGCCAATCGGTAAGCAAAAAGGCCCTTGTAACCTTGTGTATTATAATTCTTCCTGCCCTATCTTGGTTTTTCATTACCATGTTATATTAATGTTTTTGGAAGTTTGTTACTTAATATTAACAACTATGCTTTAGAAATACATCGCATTGAGTTGCCATGCTGACATGTACTTGTTTTCTCGTCTTTTGGTGATTGATCACAGAGAGTGAATTTTGCAAAGCTCGGAAGTGAATCACTTCGGAGATATTTGCGAAGCTTTCAACTTGTGGGTATTTTTTATATCAACTTCTTTATATGTATCATAATGATGGAAACAAGTAAAAAACTCAACTCAGACTCTGTTCCAAATTCCCACTTGCAGGCACATATGAATCCTAACCCGACAAAGGAACAGCTGGTTAATGCTATCCAGCAGCATTTCTCTTTACAGGTCTACTATCTTACAAACACACAACGAGAAGTTTAAGAACTAAAGGAATATTTTAGATTCAGATTCTGCTTATGGGTCGAATTTGTACATATTAGTAAAGAACTTTCTCTTAGTTTCAATAAACTTTCTTCTTTCATTTTAAACCACATAACATCTGATTTGGAAATAATCGCTGGTAATAAGTCATTTCAGAAAAATGAAAATCGTTGCGAAATGTGTGTTTTAAAGAGGAAAAACGTATTGTGATCGATGCCTTGAACCCTTTTTGATGCAGCAGCAAGTGGATGAGGTACAGGTGATAGTGGAATTTATCCGCACGGCCAAGAGATTGCAATCAGCTTGCCCGAAGAGAACAGCGTGAATTCTTGCAGAAACTCGGAATTCCACTAAACTTGTAATATAAATATCTATGTATCTATTTAGTTGCATACTGAGGGGAGTCTAACTTTAGTTCACTTCTAATTAACTGCTAATGTAGAGACCAAGTGTGTGTGCATGTGCTTCGACTTTATATGCTAATGTCGAACCCCTAACCTCTGTATCGTGGCACATTCAACTTATTATTATTATTATTATTATTATTATTATTATGGGTTCAATCTTCAGTGAATGAGCTGCATTTTGTTATCATTAACGTTATGGTTCATGTGCAAATGAGTTGATTTTTAGATGTTGTCATGGGTATGTGTTTAAGATGTAGCCCTTTGTTTTTCTTCCCACTTTAAACAGTGATTGCATGTAGAGATTTCAAAAATGAAGGCAACTGAATTTTTTTGGTGGGAAATCCAAAAAATTAGGTATTTTTTTGTTGTGTGTGTGTTTTTAGTAGAACAACTCCATTTAGGCTGGTGCTATATTTTTGGGAGAGAGAAAGAATACTTGGATTGTTGAAATAAATTTGATATTGTGTGATATGGGTTAACATTAGTCATTTTGAATTTTGATTTTGGTAAAAAGGCAGATGATTTAACCATTAATTGAAAACAGTAGGTAAATCCTTAAAACACAAATTATTGTATAGGTCAATTTAACCATAAATTTTATAGACTGATCTACTGTTACATCTACTTTATTGTTAAAGACAATTATTGTAAGTTGCTCTTTCTGTAATTGTCCTCGTTTAATATATCAACAACTAGAGAGAAAATAGATAAGAAGTTAATGTCAAACAGGCTGTGATTTGGTGTAGATATTTTGGAATGGATGGGGATTAGGGGACAGTTCCAATAAATGCCTACCAACTGGAATTTGTGTATGGTCTTTCTTACTTACAAGTGTCTTTCTCAATTCAAATCAAAAGAGTTTCATTTATTTATTCCCATGGGATAAATTGGAGGGTCCCATTAATCTTTTTACCTGGAATTTGAGCAACATCCACTATTGGACCCAGCAATAATTTTGTTGTACAAAGGTTCAAAGACAACTTGCCTTATTTTTGGCCACATTTGAAATTCTTGTGTAGTCCCACTATTGAGATGTTTTCTCTCTGTATAATTGAATATTTCAATATATCAGTAATGGTAGATTTTTTAAAAGTTGGATTAATGCATACTTGTATGTATATGTTTATGTGTTGATTCAACCGTAAAAAAAAAAAAACGTGTACTATGTAGCCATAAATAATAAAGCAAACTTCACATCAACAAGCAAATCCAAATTTCCAGAGAGAGCCTACAGTTTACTGCTTAAATAATTTTTCGATTATGCAGATCATAAATGCATTTCTATCTATATTATAAATGGCAGTTCTCAATCAACGGGTAAATACAACAAATACCCAACAGTAAGTACTTCAATCAAAAAAATTACAAAAACCCTCTATAATCTAAAAATAAAAATAAAAACACAAACACACCTAGCTCTTGAGAAGAGACTCGATCCCTTCGAAGAAAAGTGGGGCCATTTCCGGGCTCGGTGTTTTTATGGCGCATTTAAGGCCCGGAATACCGATTGCTGCTGTGAGTTCAATTAAGAAAGGAATACCTCGAGGGATCTTGGCCGAGAGATACAACACGTCTTGATTTGAGTTCTTGCGTTTTGCGATGAAGAACATGTTGGATGCAGTCAAACGGTCCAAGGTTGACTCCACGCTATTCAGCACGACTGATGGAAAGTCCTTCGAGACCTCATTTGAATCAGGTAGAGATTTCCATGTCTGTTATTTGAGAGGTGCAAAATGATCATTAGTTCCCCTAATATGTAAAATTCGCCAAGCATCGATCTTCAAAAGGACAAACCAATAAATAATTTCTGTCGACTGATAAGCAACCCCTTTTGTCCATTGCAAATGGAGCTGGAAGAGTCATTGTTGACAATTCTCCTGGCATAGTGCTAATAATGGACTAGATCAAAATGGCTCAATTAAATTCTAGTGCTTCTTCTATTAGTGATTTTTCTAGAAAAAAAAAAATATATCAAACGGCGCAATGCACCTTGGGTCGCTACGGAAACAGCCTCCTTGTATAATTACAAGGGTAAGGTCTGCGTACAATTGACCCCCCAGACCCCAACATGTTGGGAATATACTGGGTATGTTGTTGTTGTTGTTGTTGTTGATAAGCAACCCCTCTTGCCCGAATTCCCAATATATGCAGAAAAAAAAAAAAAGAAAAAAAAAATCGACGATTCAGTACACTACTTACCTCAAGGAATGTGGATCGCTCCATTTTTCCATCCTCCGAAAAGAATGCAAGCAGTGATATTTTGTCATTGAAATACCAAACGGGCTGCTGATTATTTTTCACAGCAACCTGGAGAAGCGTGCTAGGTGGGCCGGGAGATACATTTTGGAACAAAATCATAGGCAAAAGGGTGCTTGCGGATGCACCAGGTAGCAATTGGGCGACCTTATAAAAATGAAATTCTAATTAGCAAAGAGATAGTGTACAAAAAAAAAATGTTTTCTTACACTTACTTTATTGTGAAAGAAAAAAGAAAAAGAAATGACTATCGTAATTACCTGTAGAGGTGCACCTGCAGCAAGACCGAAAGTGTTCTTGTTGAACTGAATCATAAACCCGTCGAGTGTTACCTGAGAATTGTTCTCAAACAACATGCTGTAGAATATTTGTCCGTCTCTTCTTACCATCTGAGCACTAATTTGTAGGCCCTGACCGGTATTTGCGGGTAATAGAATCGGCAAGGGAGGTCTGCAATGCAATCAAATAAAACGCTCGATTTTCAAATTTTTGAAGCTAAGCTTATCCTAACAGGAAATAGCATACATACAGCCCAAATGAGAAAAAATTGCAATTTTAGTCTTGTATGTTTCACTACTCTAACTTTTTCGTCCCAAGGTTGCAATTTCGTCCCCTTCGAATTGTTGTCTTGATTTTCGTCCCTTATGTTCGCAAACAAGGTTACAAGACAATCCCCGAGCAATTCGAAGGGGACGAAATTGCAACCTTTATTCGAATTCGAAGGAGACCTTTTTTGTAACCTTTATGCAAACATAAGGGACGAAATTCAAAACAACTTTTCGAAATTTAAAACAACAGTTCAAAAGTGACCAAAAGTTATGGTTGATAACATACAGTNTTTTTTTTTTTTTAAAAAAAATTAACTATGGTTAACAAAACAACCAATCAAATCCATATCCAGTCACCCTTAGGGTAGTGAAACAGGACCAAAATTGCAATTTGCTCCATTTTTTATTTTAAGAAAAAAACCTACCCAGCTAAGGTTGCAGGTTGGTCAGTCGGCACTAAGGCACTGTTGTTCCCATCCATGCCCATCAGGTCAAGTAAATCGGGGACTGGTGCAGGAGAAGGAGCTGTGGCTGGCTGCACAGTATTTGAGCTGGCTGGTGATGATGTGGCACCAGCATTGGCAGGTGTTTCGGAATAACCATCTTCACCGTCAGGATATTCCTCCTCCTCTGTTTTCTGGACAGTTTTCACACGTGTCACAAAAGCTTCAGGTGGCTTGTGGTATACAGATGACAATGTGGCGATGTTGGCAAGAAGCTCGTCTAGGAGAGACGCATCAAGTTGATTCGAGTCGTCAGTAATCACAGGCTTTTCGGCTAAAACAACATCCTTTGCTGCCTGAGAAGACATAGAATAATACCCTTGACTTACATATACGCAGAACTTTTTAAAATAGAAACTTCTTGACACCAAATAAGTACCAAGCCATAAGCAGTATAGCAGTAAAAGTGAGAACCATAAAAAAAAAAAAAAAAAAAAAAAAAAACTAATAGCTTACCTCCGGATCAGTTGAAAGGAGTCGCCAATATATGTATGCACGATCTCTAAGATCGGGATTATCAGTCTCCACAGTTGCATTATTCAGAACGACCTGAGTAGGAATATGATAAAAGCAAAAGTTCTGAAAATGTAACGCGATGTGTGTCTGTGTGAAAGAGAGAAAGAGAGGGAGAGAGAGAGAGGGAACGAATTCCTAATTTAAAACTAAGCACGAAAATTGTAAACCCTTATGCACATATGTACGCGGAGCCACCAATAATACCATATTCAAATTATTGAAATCCTATGACTGTAGAACAGACGTTTGGAGGTCATTCACAAAATAAAGTGGAGGTTAAAAGGCATACCTGGATCATCTGTTGAGGGCCTTCAGTTGGCTTCTTTAGGAAAAGTTTAACTGTTGCTGTTAGCAACTGCAATTGAACCTGTGGAGGTTCTTCTGGAAAGGTCTCTAAAAAGCTTTCCAGGAGCTCATCGGCATTATCAATTCTTTCGGCATATTCACCAATTATCCAGATCATTGATGCCTGAAACGGAAGACACGTGAAGACATTTTAAATTGAACAAGATTACCTCTTGACCAAAACACACACAAGCAAGTTAACAAGGCCCAAAAATATACCTTTGCCTCTGGCTCATCCAAGGTGTCTAAGTTCTCACAAAGTGTAGCAATTATGGACTCATAGCTGAAAGAATCAAAAGTTTAAAGTTGAAAAGGGAAGAGTCATCCATCGATGCCACATCAATTAGGAAAGGAAAAGATAAACGCAGAGCCATACGTGTTGGGGTATCTCCTAAATATATCTTTAATCACAATTATAGCTTCTTGCACAACATAGTTTACTTTGATCTTGATCAACTCAAGTAAGACGCTAATGCACCGTTCAGCCGCTCTCTCTAATTTTATGGCACATCGTCCAATAGCACGAACAGCTTTCCTGACAAAGTCCACATCTACTTCTGTAGCGTACTCTTTGAATTCCAATAGGACCTAAACGTTCAGATGAAGAGAGCATTGCAGTGGAATATTAAACATATGCTAAAAATATCAATTAACATGATGTACGGTACCCAATCAAAAACCACAAAACAAAACCAACTTACTTGGTCAATATTTCTGTCAGAAGCAAGCTTTATCATGATTTCTAACTTTTCCATCTTCACATAAATCGGATCGTTGTATTTGCAGAAAAAAACCTGAAGAACATAAGTAATGATTTGTAAGTTCACCACCAAACTCAACTTAACACTTACGAATACAATAATATATGCAATACCTTGATTTCATGGGCAAGAATAGTGGGACGCTTTTGCACAATAAGGTTTATGTTCCTTAGAGCAACATACTGAATCTCTGGTTCTGCAGAAAGCAAAGTCACCAGAGGAGGGGCCATTTTCTTGCATAGGTTTCTAACAACATCAGTGCTGGTAATTAGTTCCATTTGTAAAAGGATCATCTGTCACCAAAGATGGTTCTTTTCAATTCATGGCAAAGGGAAAAAGAATATTATTAACCAAACCACGAATTATATAAAAGATAAAGAACAGACGAAAATACAAGGGTATGAAGTCCCATTAGGGTAATCAGAATAACTAAATCTAGTTTGCCATTGTTATAAAACTAATGAAAGGTACAGCTGAACAGAAAAGCAAAATAAAGGAATAAGATTGGGAACAGTTAGCAATAGCTGTAATCTAAAGAAAGTAAAGAGCAACTATAACCTTGACAGCAGAGAGAACAACAGCACAATTTGCATGCTGCAAACGCGGAGTAACACGCTCAACTATATTTTCGGCTTCACGAGCATCTGCTGCTTTATACTTGGAAAGAGCATCCAAAATGAAAACTTGACCCCACCTGAAGGAGGTTAAATCTCAATTGCTATTTATTAAGCAAAACAAGATAATTAACCATATGCCAAAAACTAAGTGCAACACCCATATATTAAAAAACCGTAAGTTACAAAAATACTATATAAGCATTTCACAGCCTAGTAGGCTTAACAGGTTCCATCAAACTGTAAGTGTCAAATAATGATGGATAATTTGAATTCATAAAATTTATCACCCATCTAGTACCTACTTCAATTGTTCAATTCACTATCATATAAATAATTACATGAAAATACTGATATCGGAATTGGAATATTGGCACATTATTCTCTTTTTATATAAATATGGGGAGATTCAGGTGAAACAGCAGAGAGATGTGATGCATCATATTCAAAAAATAACTTTCCATCTAGAGGCGATAAACAACTCCACCAATACGTGTGGCTAATTTCAGCTTACAGCAGATATGTAATCCCGGATTAAATGAGTGAATTTGTGCACAATTTTATCTCTGAAAAAAAAGACAGTAGGAAAAGTTCAGTATCCTACTCTGTGCATTCATTTAGAGCGGTAAGAAGCTTTGAAAGAGTGTGACTAGTGATCTCAAAGATGGGCCTGCTGCTTTTCTCTTGAATCTCTGCAAGTGCAGCAACAGCATTCGCAACAACCATGGGGTTGTTATCTGATATTAAATCCTTGAGTGCATCCAGAAAACCTCTATCTTCCACTAACTCGGCATTAATGTCAAAAAGCTTAGCAACACATATAGCTGCCGTCTTGCGAACATATGGATCATCATCCTGATGTAAGAGAGAGAAAAAAAGGCAACTGGTGCATTACAATACATAGTTCCCTACATTTCTGGTCATTGTAAAACTATATGTTGGACTTGTTAGAAAACATATGGCAGGTATGAGGTGCAAAAATTACCTTGAGACACCGCTGCAAGGGATCACACAAATACTCAGTTATTTTATCAACCCGAATACACCCCATTGTCCTCACAGCTAAAGCACGGATCAAAGGATTTGGGTCCTGGGAATCCTGGAAAAATATGTTCACATGAAAATTTCGCCCCTGAGTACTATTAAATTTCTTTAGAGATGGGATACTAGGAAAAAATTTCCTCTTACATTTTGTTATCTATTGAGGAGGAATATCTGAAGGGGGGCAAAAGAATCTTATGGACTAAAACTGGAAACATAAACATATAATAAACAGTGACAATGCAGTGAAATTTTTACTGTTTATATGAAAGTTTCTACCTTCACAAATGTATTTACAGCGAGAATAGCAAGATCAGGCTGGCTCTTGGCATAGTTGATGAGATACAAATACACGAGCTTTTTGAGCTCCAAATTTTCGGTTTGCATACAATTAACAACATCCGTGAAGAGCGAGGACACATCCTTCCCCACTGTCATTGCAGCTATCACCTTCTTAACAGCATCTTTCCTCTTGTCCTGCATCCAAAGCAGGTTCAAATCCATTTCAAAAGAACCAACTAGCCCAAGTCCAATATTCCACGTCAAAATTGAGCTATAATAGTATTTGATACAATTCCAACATAAATCAATGTCTCGCCAGGTTTTATCAATCAAAAGAATCGTGTCCCCTTGACCGCACATATCAGGTACACGATTGATTAAAAATTCCAAACCAAAAAACTCATAAAATCAAACCAAAAAACTCAGTAGATCTAACTTCACTCGACATAATCCACGATGAAAAGTATTCTAACTGAAACGCCATCAGATGCGATGCCGCAGATCAAAGCAGACAGTATTAAAATTTACGAATCATACATTCCAAATCTTGAAAAAGAAGAAGCTCCCGATTGAATTAATGGGTGATTTCACATGCAAATAGAGTTTTGGGCAAAGAGGAACCTTGTACTGAGAATTGAGTTCTTCTTTGAGCTCGGGGATTTCTCCCTTTTTGGTAGTGGAGAAGTATTTGGAGTCGTGGCCACTCATCTCTTTTTTCACAGGGAATGGCTCCGGCGGGGAAGCTCCTTTTCCGGTCGGGCAAAGAGGGAATGTAGGCAGAGACAGAGAGGGAGCAATGGTGAGAAGGAGCCAACGATGAAGAAATTAGATTTAATTTGAAGACATAATAATAATAATAATAATAATAATAATAATAATAATAATAATAATAATAAATAACATATACTAAATTACTAGAGCTATTGAATATAAAACTTATTTCGGAAAAAAATGTTTCAAATAAACTCACTCGTGCTCGAGTTTAAGTCTATATCAACCCGAGTCGAGGTTGTGAGTGAAATAAAAATTTAGGAGCTTATTGAATATAACTTATTTTGAAAAAAAGGAAATCAAATAAATGTATTCGAGTTTGAATTTGAACCTATATCGAGCTGAGTTGATGTTATGAGTGAAATAAAAATTTAGGTTTTCTCTTGACATATAATTTGTCCACCAAATTTTATTTGAAGAGAAAGAAACACAATATAAAAAAATAGAAATGTAAATTACCTCGTGGCGTTGAGTATAATCTATTTTGAAAAAAACAATATTTCTCACATAAACTCACTCCGGTTTGAGCATGTTGTGATTGGGATATTTCTTATTTTAGATATTGTGGCAATATAATTAAATAATAAAAATAAGTTATTACACACAATTTTTAACAAAATTCAATGTTCATCTATTCGCGTATTTAAACTACGAATTATTTACAATTATTATTTTACTACTTTTATATGATATCTTAATCATTATATTTTAACTCATATTCAATCATACACTCAAAATCAAATTCAAATTTCAACATAATTAATTTTTTTAATATAAACTCACTTTATCCAATAAAATAATTCAATATAAAAAATTTACTTTCAATCACACTCTTACCTCAACTCATTTTAACGAATCGAACTTAAGTCTTTTCAACAAAATTATAAAAACTATATACAAATATTATTTTCAATCTTAGAGAGCTGAGTTGGTTCGACTCACTTATTAAACGCATTTTAATTGAGCTCAAGATCAGTTAATCACTTAATCTATCAAACAAATTGAACCGACTTAAGTTCGAGTCACCGAGGGGGGGAATTGGGGAACCAGTATTAATCCTCCTGTGTGTGTGTGTGTTTAATTAGNATTTAGAATCGCTGAGCTCACAGACTCATAATCAACAAATATCCTTTCCTCCATCCCCGCCACAAGCTCCCTCTTCTTCTCTGCCCAATCCTCTTGCTTCAGCTTCAACTACACTGTCAACAGCACCTACGCCGCAAACCTCAACGCCGTCCTCTCCTCCATCCCCGCCACAATCGACTCCGCCACCGGCTTCTTCAACGCCTCCCTCGCCGCCCCCTCGACCGGACCCACGCAAACGCCCTCTGCAGGGCCGACATCCAGCCGTACGCCTGCTAGATCTGCGTCCGCGACATCACCGCCAATCACAGTCGACAAACAACACATTCGATTCGCTCTTTTTTTTCTGGCTAAATCTCTCGAGACCAAAAATGGGAAACGGTAATTTTTTCTGATGACCACATAGACGTAGGAAAAAATTAAGCAAATAATTGTAAGTTAGGTGGAATTTTGCACTGATCGATCTTCTACCGCGACTGATATCAAGATTTAGATTTGGATTTTGATTCGTATAATTTGTCAGGTGAACGAGGTCGCCCCAGCAAGAAGCCCAAGTTCGCAAAGGTCCGTAAAAAAACTTTGTCGAGTTGTTCTGTTGGTTTTCATCCGCTATCAATGGCTTCCCTGATTGTTCATATCCTGTCTCAATCGGATTTTCTGAAAATTTCTCGTTTTGTGTTTGTTGATTTTAAGGAGGAGCATAGGGCTCAAGCCGTTGAAGAAGTTGACCCAGAAGAATTTGATGACGATCTTCGTGATGGTGCGCATAATCTTTGTTTTGTTGCACAAATTCGCATTGTGTGCCTCTGTTTTTAGATTATTGGAAATTATAAATTGATTGGATTTATTTTTTATTTTTTTTTTGGGTCAATTTTGAAGGTGAAGGGAAAAAGAGGGATTTCTCAAAATTGGAACTTAAACCCGATCATGTGAACCGTCCGTTGTGGGCTTGCGCGGATGGGCGAATTTTCTTGGAGACTTTCTCTCCACTGTATAAACAAGCCTATGATTTCCTCATTGCAATTGCGGAACCAGTTTGCAGGTATTATTATGATGGGGCACTATGATTTCTTCATGTGTAATTTGTAGGTCATCTAGTTAGATATTCAGGTGTATTTTTTTGAGCTAGAAGCAGATGTTGACAAAAGTAATTTTATGTTCATGTGTCCCTAAATTCTTGGCCAGAATCTACATTAACCGAGAAATTCATGAGAGGATGCATGCCTAATTTTTGTGATGTACTATTAAAACTTATTTGGATCGGGTTTAATGCCAGTACTATTCTACAGGCCCGAGTCAATGCACGAGTACAACTTGACCCCGCATTCTTTATACGCTGCAGTGTCAGTGGGCCTAGAAACAGAGACAATTATCTCTGTCCTGAATAAACTTTCAAAGACCAAGCTTCCGAAGGAGATGATTGATTTTATTCATGGTTCTACTGCTAACTATGGGAAAGTAAAGCTCGTGCTAAAAAAGAATAAATACTTTGTGGAGTCTCCATTTCCAGAGGCAATTTTTTCGTTAATCCCATCTCTGATTGGGTTGAAAGAACATGGAGTGGTTTATTAAATAAACAATACATGACTCTTTTCAGGTGTTGAAAAAGTTGCTTAAAGATGAAGTTATAGGACGAGCAAGAATATCTTCTGAGGTATGCGCTCAGGGAAAGCGAATTATGGGGTGACCTTATTATTAAGTTACCATGGCTGGACTAAGTGTTGCCTGTCTGATACTAGAGTTGTAAACGAATCGAAGCGAATACTCAACTATTCGATTCGAATTCGTGAATATATTCGACTATTTGTATTTGATTCGTTATTACATTTAATTTGTGATGTGTATTCGATTCGATTCAAAATTCGTTTGCAGAAATTATTTATAAATATGTAAACATATTTATATATTGTTCTAAATAAATTTTTTTGGATGTATTATATATTTTTAAAATAAATTAAATATGTTTTTTTAAATATAAATATATTTTTTGTGTTTTATATTTATATTTAATGTATTTATACATATTATATAAATAAAATCCTATAATATATATAATATATTAAATTACATACAATCATTTTGATCGAATCGAATATTTGATAATTTCGACTCAAATATGTGCATATTCAAATTCGGATTCGAACAAATTTCGAATACTAAACACTATTCTTATTCGAATTTTACAAATATGAATCACGAATACCGAATTCGAATCACGAATCGAGTCGAAAATGTTTGATTTGTTTACAGCCCTATATATAACACCATAATGTTGTTAGCTGGGTTGAAACCTGTTCTTTTCAGGGAAATCGTGGAGATGATGGATTCACAATTGGCAAATCTGCTGGTGAAATAGAAGGTGCACATGATGAGTTGCTGGATGAAGCAGATTTGGCTGCTGCTGCTGAAGAAAAAGAAACTCATGCATTTGAAATCGACCCAGCTCAGGTAGATTAACGTGCCTCTCAAATATACTGTCCTGATTGCTCCTACATATTTATCTATACTCCAATGGCATTACTGGATAAATTATATTATACTGTATTCGCTTCCATTATGCCCCAGTCCTTGTAATTTTGGTACCTGCACGTGAAGCATATAAAGCGACTGTAACTTAGACAAACTAAGATAGCTCAGTCAGATTTGTTGTATTGCAGAAAATGATAAAATTGGAGTTACTAAACAAATTTGGCCAGAGATATTTCTTCATTCTATTTGCTTGGACCAGTCAACAGGCATGCACAATGCATGAATATGCTTGTTGGTATAATTGACTTGGTTTTCTGTTATTTTCCTGGCACTATGTCAAGTACTCAAATTGATTGGCTATCACCTAATTATTTTCTCTTCATGACTTACCATTTTGATTTATTCTAATAAGTAACATGACAGATACATAGCTTGCCGAATCTGATGAATAGCTTTCACACCTTTTCAATTGAATGATCTATGTCATTTATGACATCATTTTTATCCTTTTTAATTGACTTATATGTCATTAATTACTTCCTTTATTTACAGGTGGAAAATGTAAAGCAGCGCTGTTTGCCAAATGCTCTCAATTATCCTATGTTGGAGGAGTACGACTTCAGAAATGATACGGTGAGTCCAGGTTCTATCCAGAATGGGGAATTTAATAAACAAGCTTGTTTTAACTATTGCCAGCTGGAGCAGCTGTACTATAACTTATGAAGTAATGCATATATATGGGTTGTTTGAGAAGTTATTTGACATTGAGAATATTGCAGGTCAATCCTGATCTTGACATGGAACTGAAGCCACATGCACAGCCACGTCCATATCAAGAAAAGAGTCTGAGTAAGATGTTTGGAAATGGTGAGGCTCCTAATATTTGAACCATCACTCAACATCTTGAAAATTGTGTAAAATCACCTGTAGCTAACTTTAAGCCTTAGATCTCAAGAGGCGAACACGCTCCAACTTTTTTTTGTTTTCGTAGGAAAACATCCTTCATCTGGCTGTTGTGCTTGCAGCAACTTATTTCTAATATCTTCTAATCACAGGCAAACAAATGACCATATCTTGTCATCTTGGACATAGTGAATATTTTTAGTCAGCATATATATTGTTATGGTCATATACTTGAATTATTTAGCTATTAGTTTTCTCGGAGAATTTCTTGCATTTCTTATGCAGATTTTTTTTTTTTACCTTTCAGGCAGAGCGCGCTCAGGTATCATTGTACTACCGTGTGGTGCCGGAAAGTCTTTGGTTGGTGTATCTGCTGCTTGCAGAATTAAAAAGAGTTGTCTTTGCTTGGCTACAAATGCCGTGTCTGTGGATCAATGGGCTTTCCAGTTTAAATTATGGTCAACCATTAGGGAAGAGCAAATCTGTCGTTTTACATCTGATAGCAAAGAGAGATTCCGTGGTAATTCTGGTGTGGTGGTGACAACTTACAATATGATCGCGTTTAATGGCAAACGTTCTGAAGAAGCTGAAAAGATTATCGAGGAAATAAGGAATCGAGAGTGGGGACTGCTTCTCATGGATGAGGTGGATATATTATTTTGTGAATGTTTAACAAATTTTCTTTGATTAATACTGATGTTCTTTGTTTTAACAAAACTATAGTAATTATTTCAGGTGCATGTGGTTCCTGCTCACATGTTCAGAAAGGTCATTAGTCTGACAAAATCACACTGCAAACTCGGGCTTACTGGTGTGTACGCATATAAAGTTATTGAATGAATCATGATGCATATCACGCATGTGTGTCTGTGTGTGTGTTTTTAATTATTAATGGATAGTTTGTTAATACCAACTCATATGCAGCAACTCTTGTAAGAGAAGACGAAAGGATTACGGATTTGAACTTTCTTATCGGTCCGAAATTGTACGAAGCAAATTGGTTGGACTTAGTGAAAGGAGGTTTCATCGCAAACGTTCAGTGTGCGGAAGTCTGGTGTCCTATGACAAAGGAGTTCTTTGCTGAATATCTGAAAAAAGAAAATTCAAAGAAGAAACAGGTTTGTTTAGTAGACATCATTTTTTAGGTATCGTAATTTTGAATGAATCTCCGTGGTGTTTGTCACATGTTTTTTTGTTTGTCTTGTTTAAAATGACACTAATTTAAAATTCTAGATATTATAATTTCAGAGACATTAAGCATAATTTTAACTAACATCCACGATTAAGTTAGCCACTTCTAATCCTTGTATTTTTTTTTTCTATTTTTAGGCTCTTTACGTAATGAACCCGAATAAATTCAGGGCTTGTGAGTTCCTCATCAAGTTTCACGAACGAGAGCGGCGTGATAAAATAATTGTTTTTGCCGACAATCTTTTTGCACTGACTGAGTACGCTACGAAGCTTAGAAAACCTATGATTTATGGTGCCACGAGGTCTGTCTGTGTATGATATTCGGGAAAATTTATGCTGTTTGAATCATATTATTGTTATTATTATCTAGCTTATTGCTGTTACTTGCAGTCACCCTGAAAGAACTAAAATTCTTGAAGCATTTAAAACCAGCCGAGATGTCAATACCATTTTCCTTTCGAAGGTATGCTACCATATTCCTATTAAGGTCTGACGTAATGACCCGAATGGTGTAAAGTTAGCAAAATTAATTTCTCACTTTCTATTTACAGGTTGGTGATAATTCTATAGATATTCCCGAAGCAAATGTGATAATTCAGATTTCATCACATGCTGGTTCGAGGCGTCAGGAGGCTCAGCGACTTGGGCGTATTCTCAGGGCTAAGGTGTGTAGTGTAATCTTCCTAGGCATACAGAGTTCTCAATAAAAAATGAGACTCAATAAAGTTGTATCTTTTCACACGAAAAGAGAAATCTTTGCATGAACTGNTATCAGTCGTATCTCATACAAACTGTCGTTTGAAGAAAAATTAGACGCAATAATGTTACTGTCACATGTTATTTTTTACACGATAATAGAAGTCTTTGCATGAACTGTGTTTTCACAAAAAATGAGTTGCTCTTACTTTGAGAATGTGCTTGGTCAACAGGGGAAGCCTCAAGACAGGGTGGCTGGAGGAAAGGAAGAGTACAATGCATTTTTCTACTCTCTTGTTTCTACCGACACTCAAGTAATTTTGCCTTCTTACTGCCCGAGACTCAATTGGTGTTTTTTTTTAATATACATTTTCCCATCGTACTTTGATGCAGGAGATGTATTATTCCACCAAAAGGCAGCAGTTTTTGATCGATCAAGGTTATAGTTTTAAGGTACAACGTGCTTTATTGTTTTACTTTTCTTCGTTAAGGGTAAATTAGTAGTAATTTGCGAGCGTGTGTACTGATTTCTAGGTAATTACGAGCTTGCCTCCTCCAGACTCGGGACCCGAGCTCAATTTCTACCGTCTTGAAGATCAGATTAACCTTCTTGGAAAGGTTATATATTCTATTTCCATTTTCCATGTAATATGCAAGTAGGAATTAGGAAATGTTTTTGGCCCAAAAAATGCTAATGTCGTTCGTTTGCTTTACCCTTGAAAAAGGTGCTTACTGCTGGCGATGATGCGGTTGGATTAGAGCAACTAGAAGAAGACACAGATGGCATAGCATTGCAAAAAGCTCGTCGCTCGTTCAAACCCATGAGTATGATGTCTGGGGCCCACGGAAAGCTTTACATGGAGTTCAAGTATGACATCTTTTTTCATTCAAAACTCGATCCGTTTTCTCTTTTCTTCACATCTTGCGAGTTCCTATTACATGATCTTTGTCGATCAATCCTTAGCCTCAATTCATATCTTCAAATTGTGTGAAAAAAGAAAAAAATGTCCGTTTGGCGCATTTCTGAACTTGACATTTTCTTTACTGCAGTAGCGGAAAAGCAGCGAAGAGGGATAGCAATAAACCGAGACATCACTTGTTCAAGAAACGTTTCGGGTGATTGCGATTTTGAAGTGATGTACGTATATTATTCGTATGTTTGTCTCGAGTAAATGTAGAGAAGCGAATAAACCGAGCGTGATGGTGTTTGCTGTAATTTCACACGATGTGTGAATGATCGTCTCATATTATGCGCCACAGCCCTAGTGAGTGTCGGGCAGGATTTTTGTGTTTAAAGTTGAAAAAAATCATGCTGTTAAACAGTTATCTTATCAATATTTTAATACACACAGCTATGTGGGAAAGTCTGGTTTTTTGTTTAGAAAATATGAAATTTTACTTGGTTGCTAAAGTTTAAGTTAATGCATTTTGTAAACATGACATTAACTGGTGTCCTTTTTTTTTTCTTTTGTTCTGTGAGGTAAAATACATTGATGACTTCAATAATAAATTTAAAGCAGTTATTTAAGCTGGAGCTCTTGGTCCTTGTTGACCTTTTGATACTTGAACTCAGTTCAAACTGAGCTGAGCCAAGCCAACAAATCAATAATCGAGTGGTTTGTTTATGAGTGGGTTCAACTGAGTTGAGTTGAGCCAAACCAACAAATCAATAATCAAGCTCGATTTGTTTAGTTTAGCATTAGTAATGAGCCAAGCTGAGGTAAAAAATCTGAAAGTCTTTAGAGCCTTAAAAAGTCATAGTTTACCAAATAAAATGAGTTCAAAATAAGTTCGTTTATGGCTGAACATAGATTACCAAACGAGTAGGAGTCTAGCTGAATTGAGTTAACGAGCTGTTCCGAGTTAACTGAGCTATTCTTTTTGTTTACCAGTAACTGCAATTAGAAAAGCAAAACTGGAGACAATAGTTATCCAAACTATAATTTCCCCTTTCTTTAGAACATTTCCAATTTTTCAAAGTTGCCTGTGATATTTACATTTCATCAGGACCATCACATACCAAAAAGTGTAAAAAAGAAAACAATTATAATA